ATTCTCCTTCTTTGACCCTTTGTTGTTTTGCTCATTTTTTTCTTCTTCCAGCAAGCGAGGCAGATATGTGTCTTCTTTGTATCAGTAGAAGGGACAGTGCTGCTTCCTTGCTCTTGATCAGTTTCAAGATAAATAAAGACCATAAGAACTTTTGGAATTTTTAGAACAATTTTAATGATGGAAGTAATGAAAAAAGGTACAACTGAGGTTATGACAATAAATCCAACTTAAGTAATTGAAGGGTCCTAGGTTGTCTTTCCTATGTTGCGATTTTCTACTAGAGGTTTAAACGAGGCGGGTGTAGTCTCCGAGGAACTTTAACCAGTGTTGTGCCATGGCTGCCCCTGTCTTCTCTGTCCAGTGAATATTGTCCGTGGTGGTTCGGAATTTTGTGTTGGGTAGCAAGGGGATGTGCTGTGTTTTGTCTCTGAGTATCCGGTTGAGTTGGTCTAGATTTTCTTTGTGGGCTGGTGGTAACATGTGGGAGTAGTTAATGAGTTGAAAAAAGATCATGGCTGTAGCGAATTGGGTCCCGGCCACTCCCTTAAGCCTTTGAATCATTTTCGATAGAACGTTGGGGTTTCCTACTTCCTTATTATTAAGGCCGATGTTAAGGATAACAATGTGAGTTTCCGGTGCGAAGATCGTTTTATTCTTGAGAATATGGAAGATGTGTTCAATCTTAGCCCCTGGGTAGCAGACTACCTGTGTGTTGGAATTCTGGATTGGGGGGAGGCGAGAGAGGTTGGAGTCCCCCAGAATTATAATTGGTTTTTCTGCCGTAAGGGACCAGTTCTCGACCAAGTTTTGAAACTGGCGTAGCGCCGCGCATTCCGCATCCTGTCTGAAAGCACCGGATCTAGCTAGACCGGAAACACACTTGTTGCGAGCCGGCCAAATAGTAGGTTAACGTTACGTTTTGAGTGGATGACGAGCGCGAGACGCCGAAACGGATGCCAATAAGATTCTGAATTGAAAGTTTACTTTTAAAAAGTTGCCAAATAGTCCCATTGACAAGACCAAAGTGATCTGTGTGTTTTGTCGTTGTGAACTGAGCTATCATCATCGCAGCACGTCCAGTCTGAAATACCACTTGATGGCCAAGCACACACACACACACACACACACACAGCTGATGCGAATTCTCCGCCCCCTCGTCAATATCAGGACCTCGTCAGTATTTCTTTCACCCTTTTATTGATGGACAGTGTTACATTGTGTGAGAGATTATTTGCTCCAAGTGAGAATGTTTTAGTGTGAAAGTGAACACAGTATATGTCAATGTTGTTTTCAATAAAAAACATTTGCACGAAGCAAGCCGATCCACTTTTCCATGTTGATAAGAGCATTAAAATGAGAAAAAATAATGGGACAAAAAGAAATCAAGAGACATTTAGAATAGATAAAAATGTGCGATTAATCGCGAGTTAACTATGACATTAATGCGATTAATCGCGATTAAATATTTTAATCGTTTGACAGCACTAATATATATATATATAGCTGCTCTGGAGAAAACAGTGATGTCATCATCCAGCTCAGTTCTCATATAATTAGGCTTGGGTATCGAGTATCGAGTATCGATTGGAACCAGGACTAGCTTTTCGATTTTCCCGGAATCGTTCAAAAGTTTAAATTTCGATTCCTAGTTTCGATTCACAGTCCGCCGACCGGACACGCCCGCGGTAGCAGAAGCGCGGCTGTCTGCTTTGCGAGTGGCAAAACGCATTTTCCAGCTGCACAGCTAGCACTGTGAGTGTCTAGCTCACTCATTGGCTGTGCTGCGGCAACTGCACATCCAATGGTGCGGGCGCCTCCAACGTGTGCGCCAATGAGCTAGCATTACATCATACACGTCATAGCCCGCCAAGGGGGCGTGGCCCGACGCCCCCGAAAAAATAGCCATTATAGCAGCAGTTTACCACAGCTCGCTCCGAGCGATCAATGTCGGTTATATATACTGTAAAACTTCAATTAATGTTAATAATATTTGTTTCAATCACTGAATGAAGCCTGCTATATTTAGGACAAGAGTCGTGACCTTAAATTGCTTGCACAAAACTCTTGATCAGCACTCAACATTTGTTTATTGTTGTTCATTTAAACCGTTATGCGCAGAGAGCGTGAGGGCGAGAGAGAGAGAGAGAGAGAGAGAGAGAGAGCCTGCGGTTGAGCGAGAGTGAGGTCTGCGGTCTTGGCCATTAGTTGATTTACTTGTTTTTGTGTAAGTTAATACGTTGTCAAATATGTTTAAACTTAAACTACCTATACAAGTAGTTATGTCCCTTTGTATTAATTTGTCCTGTTATTGACGTAATGCGCGTCATTGACAAAATGCGCAACCAGATGTTCGAATAGTTCGAATATATGTGGTTTCTTTAGAGGGAATATTCGAACGTCATTTTTGAGCAATTTTGACAGCCCTAGGTTAGCCCTTCAGTGGGAGCACGGTAACATGTTCAAGTATCTGCAGCATCATACACTCATGTGTAAATGTGTTTTCATGAGGTTTTAAAAAATAAAGCTCTCTTGAGGAAAGTGTACCCCTGTGAAAATATATTCATAATTTATAATATTTATATTCAAGTTCATAGATTTGATATTTATATTGTAGTTGAAAACAGCCCTGTGAGAAATTCATAGTAAAGTTCATAAAAAGTAAAAAGTTCATAGAATTAAAATTGATGGAGAAGGTCAGACTATTTCCTTCAGAAAGACTGTTGGTTAGCTAGCTCATTTAAAATATCCTTAACTTTTTTGACCCCGCCTCTTAAAAGAATCGGAATCGAGAATCGTTAGGAACCGGAATCAAATCAAGGAATCGGAATTGGAATCGTTCAAATTGAAACGATACGCCACCCTACATATAATGGTGTCAATGCTGTCAGATCAATAATATAGTTGAATATTAAATGTCCCCAACTAAGCAAGCCAAAAGCCAAGGCGACAGTGGCAAGGAACCAAAACTCCTTCAGGAGACAGAATGGAGAAAAAACCCTTGGGAGAACCCAGACTCAGTCGCTCAGTTCTCCTCTGGCCAACGAATGAACAGTGTGTGATTATGATTCAAGCAGCATTACAGGTCAGAAGTCAGATTAGATCAGAATATTTATCCAGTTCCATCTGGTTGAAGATCGGAGTCACGCCGGTATGGAGACGGGTTTGTTGAGGATCAGGGCCCGGATCCGGCTGACTACAGTAAATCTCGGAATAAACAGAAAGACTAACATTAGCTTAGATGTCATCCTGGTTTTGAGGAAAATTGCCCTCGAAACGGCGATCAATGAAGCAAGCAATGTCTACCACCTTATTGACTTTCTCTGAGGAGTAACGGTGATCATCCATCATTACCTTTTTCATTTGTTTTGTAAGGGCATCCGTCGTCCTCCTCTTCATTCAGTATGGCAGTGAGGTGCTCCATAACAGGCTTCAAAGATAGCAGGGTGGTCTGTGTTTCAGAACCCAGTAGATCTGTGAAGTCATTTAGAGGCCCCAGAAGTTCACAGACCGTCTCCAAAATGTGCACATCACTGTCTTTCGTCATTAGATGCCATGAGCTTCTGTCTGCTGCGAGCACTGCACTGCTGCTCCAGAAATATCTCAATCATTTTGAAAGTGGACCCCCATCTCGTCACTACATGATGAACGAGTGATTTTTCAGGAATGTTCAGGATTGCCTGATTTTTCTTAAATTTTTCTCTCTTTCTTTTCCAGCTGCGAGAGATTCCCTGTATATCATACTCTTACAGCTGAGTCAACGCTTTGAATTTTGAGCACTTTGGCTATAGCTAGATTTAAGTTATGTACATGGTCGGTCGGTTGCATGGTCTGTTGTGATGCTAGACAAACACTTTTTCATGATTCTTCAGTCCTGCAGCATGTTTACAGATAAATCTAAGATGTTGTCAGCTGTGTGTCCTCTGGGGGAAAACAGCTTAGAGGCAGAAGGGCTTCAATCTGGAGAGAGGAAATGCCCTGTAAAGCTGATGTTTGGTTCTCCACTACCACCATTGCTGGTCCAAGCATCGGTAGTTGCAGAAAAACACGCTTTCTGCCAGTTGTTTCTGCACCTGAGCCCTGACTTCTGTGTTCTTTTGTTCTCATCTTAGGGATTTCATTCTTTAAAAAATTCCCAGACAGGTTTTATATTTTATGTTTTTGATTTCATGTAAAAACATATACTACTACTGCTAAGAATCATATCAAATAATGCTATAAAATTGATTATTGTTATTTCAGTGTCTCACACACACACTCTCTCTCTCTCTCTCTCTGTACAACACACGAACTGTCTAATTTTTTTTTTTACACAATGGTGGAAGACTTAAACAAAAGTAGAAGTGATACCAGCTATATTTAATTATTGTACTAAATCGCAGAAACACAGTCTGCTCTTCCCAGGTTTGTGAAGTAACGTGAAGTGGGAAACTAGCTGATGTTAGCTAGCTACTTAGCCATGTTATCTGCCTCGGTAGAAAGCCAATAGCATTGCTTTCACCAGAGCTAAACATGCTAGCTCTCTTAGTTGGTTGCAAATGTTCATTTCAAATCAGTGTTACCATTAACACATTGCCTCGTCTAGTAGCCACTCTTCTTAACACGTCTTACAAGTATCTTTCCTCCTCAAAGCGGGCCAACTCGGGCTTTAGGAGCGATTAAACAGAAGATGGATGCACGTTTTCTCAGTCCTGTTAGCAAAGCATGTTTAAAAGCATGTCAATTCCTTTGTTTTCCCCTCAAGAAAGTGTTTATTTTAAAGAAATGGCTGGTTCTATGTTCCAATAATTGATACTTGTGACTAAAAAAAATCACTAGGCTTATATATTTAGGCAAGGTGTATTTTATTAAAAAACACAAAGCCATTTTTTCATTTTAAAGAAGACCGAAGCCTCAAGTTTATCTTTTTTTTGTTGCATTAAATAATTGTATAAATGATGGACAAAACAAAACCGATAAAAACAGTGGTTTAACTTTATTCAATATTATTTCCCTGATTTCAGGTGTCTTATCGTGCCAAGCAAGGAATGACCCACTTCGCTGTGGTGAAGATAGCAGCGGTTTGGATTCTGGCCTTCCTCCTGTACGGACCGGCCATCTTATTCTGGGAGCCGCTGACCGGCAGGAGTCGCGTGCCGGACAACGAGTGCTTCGCCGAGTTCTACTACACCTGGTACTTTCTGCTTTCTGCTTCCGTGGTTGAGTTCTTCTCGCCTTTCTTATCCGTGGCTTTCTTCAACATCAGCATCTACCTCAGCATCCGCCGGAGGAGACTCGGCAGTAAAAGAGAATCCCGTTCTCCAAAGCGCCAGGACGCCTCGGCTCTGTACGGGAAGAGGACAGGCGTGAGCGTGCGGATCTACTGGAACTCACTGACACTCAAAAAGACCGAAGACAGCGAGAAGAAGCGCTCCGAGAGCGACGGTCTGTCCATGCGTTGCGTTCAGCGCTCGCGTCTGAGGCAGGACAAGAAGATCGCGAAGTCCTTGGCGATAATCGTGTGTGTTTTCGCAGTGTGCTGGGCGCCGTACACTCTGCTGATGATCGTGCGGGCGGCGTGCAGAGGAGACTGTGTGTCGCATCACTGGTACGAGGTGACGTTCTGGCTGCTGTGGCTAAACTCGGCGATCAACCCGTTCCTCTACCCGCTGTGCCACAGCAGCTTCCGTAGGGCCTTCGTCAAGATCCTGTGCCCTCGGCAGAGGACCACCATACCCCTGACGGACCGTCCCTCCAGCACACACAGATAGTGTCAGCGCACATGTACTGGAAACACTGTTTAAAAAAAGAGGATTCAAGTGTCTATACATTTAAAGGAATGTTCCTGGTTCAAAACAAGTCTGTTGACAGCATTTGTGAAGCATTAAAAAAAAAAAATTGCGAGTTTACATCTCGCAGTTCTGACTTTTTTCTCATAATTGCGAGTTTATATCATGCAATTCTGACTTTATAACTCGCAATTTATGACTAAATCACGCAATTTTGAGAAAAAAAGTCAGAATTGTGAGATTAAAAGTCTATGTGATGAACTTTTCGAATACTTTTCTAGGTGTATGAACTTCTAGTTCAAAATTGTGAGATATAAAGTCACAATTATCTTTTAAATTGTTTTATTCCCTGGCGGAAACAAGCTTCCATAAATAAACTTCATAATATACAGTAAAAAAAAAACACGACTTCAGGATGATATGTGTTAACATTAGGTAGGTGTCATAATATCACTTATTAGCTCTTTTTTTTTTTCAGGAAGCTTATGCATTCGTTTAACTTCACTGACATGACAATATATGGATTAGTCAACCGGGAAACTAATATTACACAACCATAAGTTTATACACCTAGAAAAGTAGTTGCACTTCAAAAAAGTATTCGAAAAGTTTTGGAGGGGTTTTTTTGTTGAAAAAAATAATAATTTATTTTTCATTTATTTAAAGGGGTCACGGCATGGATTTATTTTAATATGTTCCTTGAGATTTACATATAATGAACTATTAATAGTGAATAGCTATTTGTTGTGTCATGACCCCTTTCACTTTGATTTTAACTATTCACGAAATCTGGTTTATGAATTAAAATGATTTTACAGTGGATGGACATTATGCTAGACAATGATAGAAATGATAGAAAAATGATGATGAGTACACGATGATAAACATGATGATCCTTATCAAAAAGGGTCCAGTAGGGGAGACCAGAGATTGTAAAAGCAAGGTCCGCTGTAACCGCACCAGTTTCTGGGAGCCGTGTGGGCATACTGTACATTATGTATAGTTTTGGTTTCCAGTGTCACATGTGCCAAGAATTTATATTTACATCAGCACTGATACTTTTAGAAATATAATAGTAGAAGTCATATATTATCATTTCAAGTAAAGTTTGCATTACATTCATGTAATACTACATGCTGTACCTCAAATTCTACAACTAGCAGAAATACAATTTTGAAATTTTGTCTTTTTTTCCAGTAAAAATATGCTTTAAACAAGATAAATGTAATATTATTTTGCAAAATTTTAATTAAGCTTCTTCTTGAAATTTCAAAGGCACTAGAAGCGCATTAAATATTCTCCAAAACAAACGCATTTGCTGAAGCAACCATGGCATTTTAGCTTTGCTTCTATAAGTCTTTGAGCTCTTCTATCGTGACTCGTGTTTCACGTGAAGTGCAAGTGCAATGCTGTACCAGCCAGGACTTTTGTTATTTTATTTTATATTTATTTATTTTATTACCCTAGCTACGGCCCTGGTACCAGGTGAGCTGTTCACTACGCTTTAGAAAAGCCATACATGTGCTGCAACCCAGACAGCAACATGGATTCCTCACGTACCAGATGTGGGCCGACACCATGTTGCTGTCTGGGAAATGTCTAAATGTATTAGTTGCTCTATGGCAAAAGTGTTTTGAGATCATAACAGTATTTCGCAAGGATCGGCATGAAAATAAGTCTTTATTAATCAGCAATCTGGCCCCTGTGATCGCTGTTTTACTGCCACTAGTGTTCATTCCAGCACACTGCAGTCAATTGGATGTATGGTTTTGCTAAAATGTAGTTAGTCATGTTTTTCAACTGAGGTTTTTTACCATGTGCCATGGATTAAATCAACATGAGGCACAGCATAAACAGTTTAGGTTAGTCACGGCTGTACGTGTCTGATGTTTTATACACCCGTCATTGAATCGAGCTGTGAGCTCTTTAATAAGCGGCTCACTCATTTCATCATTTTGATTGATATGTGATTGACAGTGATGACGTCTGAGTGTGTTCGTTGTTTTCTTTGTAATTAGCCACTCCATTTCCCGCAGAACGAGACACTCAGGATTCGTGCCGTGATTGCGAGCGTGAGAAGTGGGCTGTGGGCATTCACACATCGACAAGGCAATCAGCCAATCAGAGTGATTGAGACTTTCAGCGGTATCTCGACGCTCGACCCTTGCATTGGCATCACGCTTTAGGAGCACGAGGGCCTGATAGGGGGAGTAAAGTCACATGGAGGCGTAATCTGGCACAGTTGTCCGAAAACAAAACCTAGAACATCCCTAAATTACAAAAAAAAATAAAAAATGATGACATTGTCTTCCATCATGTCTCTCTCAGAAATATGTTTTAGTATTTCATAATTCTTTAAAGCTTGTACAGCACACTCTATGTATTATTACAAACTACACTGTCAATTCTTCAATGTATCTGTAAAATAGACACACATTTGTATGATTATTGGGTGTTACAGTAAGCAGAAGGGTTATATTCTTAAACTGATTACGCTTGTTGAACTGTACTTACTGTAGATCTGTATGTGCATGTTGTGCAAATCTGTGTTCTTCTTGTTCTTATATTCAGTATTATACTCTCTGCTAAATGTTATTTAGTGGAAATTTGGTATTGTACCTTCTTCAACATTGTTACACACATACACATTTAACATTAACTATTCAGTTTTAACAATATTAGCATTTGTATGTTGCATTATTTGTATATTATAAGCGAATGTATTTTACATTATGAGCTCTGTGTAATATGTTTTTTTCTTAATCTATGATTTAAATGATAAATAGAGCTATTGTTCTGCTAGGAAGAAATCAGAAATGAATATTCAGAAGTGATAAAAGCTTGTAAAATATGAACAAACTTGTATAGTAATGTTGATTTTGTGGTTGAGATTAAAGGTGCAATGTGTAAAATTTCTGAGGATCTATTGACAGAAATGCAATATAAGATCCATAACTATGTGTTCAGTGGTGTATAAAGACCTTACTCAATGAATCGTAATGTTTTTATTACCTTAGAATGAGACATTTATATCTACATAAACGCGGGACCCCCTTCTATGAAGGTCGCCATATTGTGATGTCATGTTTCTACCGTAGCCGACAGCGAACACACAGCGTTACAGAGCGCGTTTCGTCACTACCTTGAAAGAGAAGCCGCAGAAAGCTAGAAGCTAGTCATAAACACTGTGAGTAGTGACTTTTCCCTTGTCAGTGGTGTAAAATATGTAGTTGGACTGTTTCATGTAACTTAGTTCTTCTCCCTCGCTGACAGCGTTATGGCTTTGACAATCAGCTGATTAGTAACGTTACTATTGACCGTAAAACAGTAACGTTACAGGAGTCACCAACCCGTCGATCCAATCTAAGTCCATCTTGGAAGCAGTTTAAGTCGATCGCGAAGAGTTTTCAAAGCCAGAGAAAAAAAACAATATTTTTATTCATTATTATTTATTAATTTGTGTGTAGTAAATGGTGTCTAGGGGATGCGGAGGCGCGCGCGCTGTTACAATCCTGTCATTTTCGCCGCGCGCACCTTTGGGCTCATGCGGACGCGTCGAGTTTAAACAAGGCTTAACGCTTTAACCAGCTCAGCCACAGTAACAGCTCAAATTAGCCAGCTAAACTTTTACTACCCTGTTAGAAAACATATATAGTTGCATATTTTCATGTGGTTCTTCTCCCTCGCTGTATTATGGGTTTGCTATGTGGGGAGAAATGTGCTGGTTATGTTTGTGAGACAATCAGCTGATTACTATCATTATATTATGTATTAAGACCCTTGATCCTCACCTGACTATGGCTTTGTAAACTTTATCCATGATGTGGTTTATAATGGACTGTGGTACAGAAACAGTGACGTACACTCTTGGCTTACTCTGGCTATTCTCTGCTGTCTCAGACGACGACATGTTTGTCCCGTTTGAGCCACCGTAGTTTCTTCGAAAGGGAGGGGTGAGCAGTGGGCGGAGCCATTAGTGCAACTCGCAACCCAACCACTAGATGTCGCTAAAAAATACACACTACCTTTAAACTGTGCACAGTACGTGTCAGAAATTGGACTATCATTAATATTTATTTGGCTATTACTATTTCCACATTTATAAATAATACTGAAGTCATCCAGTTATTACATATGAACTGTGACGCACAAATGGGAAATACGTGGTGAAAAATGTATTAGACCCTTTGCCTTTTTACAGCTCTTGAGTTCTCATGTGTGGCCACTTTTCTTACAGTGTCCGTTCCAACTTTTGACTGGTAGCGTATATTTAGGCTGAAGTTAAAACATGAATTAACTTAAAGTGTGTGATAGCACCTAATGTCATATACTGTCACTGTTCTCAAAGTCACTGCCTACAGAGAAATCATACGCGTGCGATGACACCATATTACCCAGAGACCAATATAATCACACTTCTGTCAAAGTATTTCAAAATCAGTAAACGAAACCCATTTCTGGGTGTCTGTATTAATCCTGTATAAAGCTGACAGATGTTCTGTTGTTGTGCTGACTGAGTTTGTCCTTTAGATGGCACTGTTGATCTTTCTCTTAAACACATTTAATCTGATTGTAATTTTTGGGGTTTAATAACTCCAAACTCATATTTGAATGCATGTATTTTATAGTTTGTATTTCAGCACAATGATTTAATTAGGATATAGTTTACTTAAGTAAAACATCTGCTCATCTATATGAAATAATAAATTATGGTCAGACATAAAAATATTCGAGGACGTCTCTGACATCACAGCGGAATCTATTCCTCTGAAAATCAATATTTAACAACAAAGATATTCATTTAGTAAGGGTTTACTGTAATCTCTGATTGTTAAGTTTTGAACTCAAAACAATCCGACTTATTCCAAGCCTACAGGTTATGTGTAGCACTCGATAGATTCCCATTTAGTCAGATGAATTAGTAAAGTTTTTCTATAATACAATATGCTTCCAATGTCACTTGACAATATGAGTTGCTTCCATAATCCATAATCCAAGTTCAATGAAAAGGTTTGTATTTTAAATCCTTTTTGATGCATGGCTGTACAAATACTACATTTGCAATATGAA